CTCCAAATGCCATTTTGGAGGAAATTCTTCTCCAACCCCTACCCCATTTTCACCTGCAAAATAAATTTATTACAACAACTGATTAATAAAAATTGGGTAAACTGATTCTAGATCCACCAAGATCATTAAAATATTGTCCAAATGAACCAGATTGAGTGGTGTGTAGTATTATTTTTATATTATAGTGGTTGAATTTAGAATAATATTATAATTTATGAAAGTTTTAAGAAAAAAAAAAATAAATAGATTAATTTGTAATTTTTATAAATAGAGTGCATTATTAGTAATTAACAATAATAAAAAAAGAATATACTCAAAATATTCTTTTTGGAGTTGAAATTGGAGGAATACATTGAAGAGAAATCTAACTCCATTTTGCAGTTCCCTCATTTTAAAGACAAAAATGAGGGAATACATTGGAGATGCTCTTAGAAAATACACTATTGGCAAATTTCTCACAATATTATTAAAAATTGAAAATTATAATTTTTTTTCCAACTTCCATCTACCAAGCACCCACCACACCTAACTTGTCTGCATTCTCTCGCTCATTGGAATCTCAGAAAGTATTTGCACTATAAAAATCCAATTCTCTCACTTCTTTAATTTCTTCACTCTCGATCTCTTCGTCTTCTCCGCCTCTCTCTATCTCACTCCGATCTCTCTCTCTAGGATTCATGGCTTCCATGGCTGCTGCATCTACTTCTCTACAAGCTCATCCTCGACAAATGGTCTCTCTCTCTTTCTCTCTTTCACCTGAAATCTCGAATCTCTTTTTTTTTTTTTTGCTGCGTAGGATCTCATTCTGCTATAGATCTGATTATTATTTTTACTTTTCTTTCCATCATCTCTGTGATTTATAGATCTCGATCTAGGTTTTTTTTTTTATCTTCTTCAATGGTAGATCTTATTGCAGAATCGTTGGCTAAGCTCTTTTCCAAATAAATTGATTTATTGAAATGACTTTGGTTCTAGTAAATTTTGCAATGAGGAAAGTTAGTTATTGTTTTCTCGAATTTAAGGTATTTTAGCTCTGCAGGAACTATAAATCTCATCGATCTGATCAAATTGATTGGTTGTTCTAGTCGAACTGGATTTTTCTTATATCTGAATTTGCATGAGTTCTAACTTTTGTAAAGGAACAAGTAGAATGTTGTTAACATATAGGATTAGTTCTTATAGAGTTTATTTATTTGCTTCTGTTTAAGTTCTCTTGTACTCAAGAAATCGAGAAGCTTGTTCTCGCAGATTGTTCGCTGTTTTTAGTTATATGTAATCTTTCGTTTGTTTGTAGTGAAAATATTGCTTTGCATTCGAGTTTTAACTTTCGACTGATTGAATGTTAGCATATAGGATTAGTTCTTAGATATACTTTTAATTGCGTCTGTTTAAGTTCTATGGTATTCAAGAAATCGAGAAGGTTGTTCTTAAATTACAACACCTCGTTTTCATGTTTTGCTTTGCTTCTTCATGTTTAACTTCTACGAATTGAATTGTTTTTTTTAAATACGATTGCAGGCAATTGCAGTTAGCCATCCAGCTAAATGTTTTAGCATTGGAAGAAGCAATCTTTCTTTTACGCGTCGCCCGCTTCCTACTCGTTTGAGTGTTTCTTGCGCTGTAAGCATTTTTTCTTCTCTCATATAATGTTTTCATTGTACTTTTACATCTCATATTCGAAAAAATGTGATTGTGGAGGGAGAATGATATTAGAGGTATTGCTTTGCGAATCTAATTTGAACTCTTCAGCCAATTCGACATATGCGAACAATGTAATTATGCTCTATCGCGGACTTGACAGAATTTGGTTGCTGACAGCTTCATACTTTTTGTTTGTTGGTAAACAGGCAAAACCTGAGACAGTGGAGAAGGTGTGAAGTTGTCAAAAGCCAACTTTCACTTAAAGATGGCGAGACAGTTACGGCTGGGACCAAATTTGTTGATCTTGGTGCTGATTCTCTTGACGCGGTAACTTACAACCTTCTCATGTCTAACATCCACCTGCTTTTAGATACGTTCGATTCAACTGTTCAGTGGACTTATTGATGCTTAATCGTTTCATGTTTTCGAGCACATATTGTCTCACCATAATGATTAGATTGATAGTCTATGAAGGGTTCCTCATACACCTATTCGATTGATATGCACAAACTCATGGCTTTTGTGGTTGGGTTTCAGGTGGAGATTGTGATGGGCCTTGAGGAAGCGTTTGGGATTGAAATGCAGGAGGAGAAAGCACAGACTATCACAACGGTTGAGCAAGCAGCTGAGCTCATTGAGGAGCTCTTGTTGGAAAATGCCTAAATAGATGTCATTATTATTACATAACCAAAAGTGGAGGAAAAAAAAAAACCCAAACCGGTAATCTTGTTATTGTCTGGTGGCTAGAGTCCAAATTTCGTCTGTTGAGATTGTTGTTATTTTGGGAAATTGTTATTACAAAGCTTTTGTATTTGACTTCTCTTTATTCTAAAACTTTTTAGTTCCACATTTCAAAAGTGTCCTAATTATCTAGTCCTATTCTACCCGAACAAAAAAAAAATATGATTGCTCTTTTTGTTCAAACAAAAATATCATTGTTCATCTATGCTTATTTCTAGTATATGTACTAAACATAAAATTTTTGTGGAAAATTAAATAATAAACATTTTTTTTTAATTGAATGTAAATTTATACTCCAAACCAAAAGAAAGACGTTTTTACAACCAAGTTGCAGCTGTAGTCAAATTGAGAAACTGTAAAAAGAAAATTAAAAAGCCAAATGCGATTCCACTTGTTCGTACAGTTTTCAATATGATACTTTCATACAGTCTAGTTTGACAAAGAAATATAATTGCTTCTGTAAAAGTGACGTGATGCAGCTTAAGACTTTTTTTCTTTTGGCTAGTTGCATCTTAGGACATTTGTTGTGATCTTTGATCAGAACTCCATCATTGTGTTTCCAGGCCGCGTCAAGGTTTTGCATTATATCATGTTGTTCCTTTCGCCGGCTGTCTCTGAGTAATGATTTGACAAAGAAAATTATAAGAGTGGATTTTGTAGTCGAATTTCTATATATATATAAAAAAAAATCAAGTTTTCAATTTCTAAAGCAGAAAAAAAGAAATTTGTAAATATAACTCTTCAAATACATTATAAACAAATATATAAATGAAAAAACTATAAAAGTGTAAGTTTGTGATGATAATAATTATTATAGATCCCAATATAAAAAGAAGTTTTTTACTCTTTTAATGATAACAATAACCGGAGAGGTCTGAAGCAAAAAATAAAAAATAATAACAGAAGAGATAGAAAAAGTAAAAGAGAATATACTAAAAAAAATAAGAATGATACATAATTAGTTCTGTAATACTGTTTTAATCTCTATATTATTATTACAGAATTATTATAAAACAATTTGTAAATTATTTTATATTATATCCTAAATTTTTCAAAATTATTGAAAATAATATGAAAAAATTAATTGTTTATTCTAATATTTATTTTTTAGTTTGTAAATAATAATTAATTTTATATATTCAAAATACATTATTAGCGATTTTACAGTATTTTTTACTATTATTTGTATTATTATATTTTAATATATTAATATCAAATTTAAAAAATATACTAGACATGAGAAAAAATACTTTTTCAGAAATTCATGAACTGACCACAAAACTCAATCATCAAAAATGCATAAATTAGTATTTTAAAAATTATATTTTTTGTGAATTATCTTAAATAATATTTTAATTTACTGTAAAATTATTAGTTATGTATATTTATACTATTAAAAAAGAATGATGTTTTGTGTCCAAATAGAACTTTTATTTGATTTCTTATTATTCTTATTAAACTAATATTACTAAACAAAAATATTAGTTTTAATTTAAATTTATCAAATTAATTAGTTTAATATTAATAAATTAATGTATTTTAATTTTAATTTTAATATAAATTCGAAATTTTAGTTTTTAATTTAAATTTATTATAGATTTCTTTAAATATAGATTATATTATCCAAAATTAAGTTATTATTATATCTTTACAAAAAATAATAATCAAATATTAACTTAGATTTAATTTAAATATTTAAATTTAAATAATATATTTTAATAACAGAGATGAAAATAATATATTTTTATATATTTTATTAAATATTTAAATATATAAATAATATGAACGGACATGTTAAATGCTTTAATAATTTTAGTTTTTTTATATTTTTATAAATGAATATGTTATAATGATATTTTTTAATTGTGCTACTTTTCAAATTAATATGAATGGATGGATTTGAATAATGTTTTTCTAATCGCGATCATATATAATATTAGAAAAAATAAATCAATAAAAATAAATTCTATTTAAATATATTTTTTTATCATTTATTAAAAAATTATATATAAATAAAAAAAGAAAATATATTAATATTATATAAATAAAAAATAGTTCTCATGCGAACCGAAATGACAGAATCTAGTTGTAAAATTAAAAACTATATCAAAATATAAAGATGTTAAAATGGATATAAACTTTTATTTAGATTCTACCTCGCTTAGATTTTAAATTTGTTAAAATTTATTTAGTTTTAGAGGTCTTTTATAGTGTTCATTAAGACCCACTATAATTATACTGATCTATTTAGACCAATTTAAGCAATTTAAGTTACATATGTTTTTTAGTAATCTAACATTTTATACTAAAAAAATTAAAATTTTGTGTTTTTTCAATGAGTTCAACTTCAACTCTTAACACTAAAAAATTACTAATCATTTCAACTCATATCGTGGAAGCTACAAGAGCTTCACGGATCTCTAGGCCTTAAAGAATAAATCCCACGGTGAAAACTCACTGAAGAATCGAAATGATGAAGAGAGATCATTAGACAGTCGGCGTTGGATCTTCATTTCATATATATCAAATACGTTTCCCACAAACACATATATAGACATATATTTTTATATATAAACAAAACACAAAATCATATCTTGTTTCCATACGAACCTCCATTAATGGATTCTTCAAATCCTACAATCTATTCCGGTTATCAACCTCTGGCGATCAACGAGGTCTCCTTTATAGCTAGCCCAACCCTAAACTCATACGCACCAGTTTTCTTTCCATACAATCCTTATCTCCCTTGTAACTATTACTCGCCACCACCGCTGATTTACCTCCTTTCTCCACCACCAATCTTTATATATTATCCTCTTTGGCATGTTAACCCTAACCCTAATCCGTTGGAGTTTATACAAGAATCGCCTCCTAGTTACTCTTCAAGCCCTATGCAAGAGCTGTCTCCTCCACCGGCTAGTAGAAAAAGGGTTTTTAGCCGGAGAAGAAACATCAAAAGGACGTGGAGGAAAATAATCAAGTATCAAGATGAATCTAACGATGCACACATCACCACCGTCATGCTTCGCAACATACCAAACGAATACACGTACGTTTATATATAACATCATATTAATTACATAGTTCATTATATAGCCAGAAGAATAGTACGTTGTTACCTCTAGGTTACCAAAAAAAAGTAGGAGGTGAGACATAATTTAATTTTATGTTGCATGCAATGATATTATTAGGATGAATATAATGAAGCTCATGATTGTAATATTTGCAGCAGGGAGATGATGATTGATTTTATGGACATGCATTGCGAAGAAGCCAACAAAAATGAGAACAATGAAGAGTCGCCGCCTATCTCTGCTTATGATTTCTTTTATCTCCCAATCGATTTCAAGTAATTTTTTGTCGTTATTTAGTTTATCATTATGTGTTTGTTTCATGTTCGTTTTATATATACATATGCGTGTAAGAAAGAGGAAAAACGAAATGATGCTATACAAATCTTGGAAATGATAAACGATAATTATTGATTATCTGGAAAGGATTTAACGAGCTACATGAAATACAAATATAAAAATTCAATTTTGTCTTTCCTTTTTGCATGAACTTTGTACTGTAGTTCAGTTTTTTGTTTTTGTTTTTATCTACTAACACAATTTATGGCACGAAATTGAATAGGAGTGGACTAAACAGAGGGTATGCTTTTGTCAATTTCATAAACAAGGAAGCAGTGTTGAAGTTTAAGGCTGCTTACAACCATAAGGCATGGTCTCATTGCTACTCAAGAAAATTACTTGAAATTGTTTCTGCGAAGATTCAGGTTAGTTCTATCTCTACTCCTTCCTCTAATATATACATACATAAAATATTCAAGCTTGTTGTAACATTTGTGTGTAGGGAAAATATGAGTTGGTGAAACATTTTACAAAAATGACCTATCCGGCTGAGGCATATGGTGCACTTTCTTTCAGCCCAGCTCGTAGCGGACCAGAAAATACTGTTAAAACCATCATGGTCGGTAGATGCATCGAACCAATGATATCAGTGTAGTCGTTTCGCATATGATCATCTATATATGTAATGTGAATAATTACTAGTGAATCGAATGTAGAATATCGAACTAAGAATAGTGGGTGGACTTAGAAGGAGAGGAAAAGACTCAGACACCGAACCAAATCCAATTAAAAGTCTGAAAAGTTTAGTTTTGGATTTGGTTTTTGATGTGTGTGAGTTTTGACTTTTCATTAGTGTTTTGTTCGAGTTCAAGGTCTACATGTTTTTCTAACCTTTTATGTTGTTGTAATATTGATATTTATATATATGTTATTTAGGTAAAGATAGTAATACAAATCATGTCTCTGTCGTTTTGTGTGTTAACGGTTATTCTGAGTTTCAGAAAATTGGTTGAATTTGTATTGTGAAAATCGACTCACACTCGAAGCTTTGAGAATGATTTAGAGAAAATTGATTAGACCCTGTAACAAAAAAACAATGATAAATATTTTTTTTAAATTAATTAAAAGATGCAACGTCAATTCTTCTTCAAAATTACGAACGAGCTTCATTCGTCCCCTTCAATTTAAAACCTACATAAATCAGATAATCTTAGGGATAGGCAAAAAACCATATCCGAAAAACTAAGCTCATCAACTTCACTTTGAAAGCTACAAAAATCAGATGATCGTTATTCGTTAGGGAGGCCAAAAAATAACCATAACCAAAAAATCAAACCAAACCAAAATAAATTAATTGGTTTTGTTGTAGTTTAATCTAAATTTAACCCATTTGGTTACCATTTTTGTTAAGCTTTTGAGTTTGGTTTTGTTAAAAACTAAAACCGGATGGTTTTCTGGTTTTAAATCAAATTTTAAATAATCTATATTATCTTGGTGTAATTGGTGGGTTCATCTTTTTTCTTGGGCTTATCTTTATTGTTACTAATTCATAAGTTTTAATTAATTAATTTGTAAGGATTTTTAACTTTTTTTGAGTGCTTAGATCTTAGGATCTATAAGATGATTAGAAACTTAAATAACACAAAAGTTTGATCACCCAGTTCACGGTCTCGAACCGCTACGTCTAGGGTGGGAACCGTCTCCCACAACTTTCACTATCAATCAAAGATTACACAAACGCACTAACCGGCGAAGTACAAATCACAGATTAGAACAATAGAAGAGAAGATTTGAATCACAACACAAAGAAGACTCAAACTTCTTTTGGTGCTCTCTTGGATTCCCTCTTCTCTCTTCTCTCAATTGCTCTCTCTCCCTCTGTATCTTAGCTTTGTACTCACGGCTCTTTGACTCCTTCTCTTGTGTTAGGGTTTGGCTTCAAAGTCTTTGTTTCTTTTATAGCAATACGTAGCCGACGTTATTCTAGCGTACTTTCCGTTTTATCAACGACTTCCTCTTTTGTTATTGGACTCAATCTTGATCCACTTGAAACCTTGACAAAGCAAGCCCAAATCATAGGCCCAGATGTGAAGATAGAAGCCCATCTTCCTCACAATCTCCACCTTGGGCGATGTCTTCACGATCCCTTCTGACGTTTCACCATGGCGAGAGACTTGATGCAACTCCGACCACCGTCACTCTCTCTGACCAGAATTTCTTCCGGCGATGAAATCCTCCACCATACTGGTATGAAGCAATTAGAGAGATTCATGACTCTCTCTCATTCTTCCTTTCTCGATGGTGAAACACGCTTATGCAGTTTCGATGCCTTCTCGGACCACCATCTTTGCAGTTTCTGGTGATCTCTCCTTCGCCGATATTCTCTGGTGACCGCCGGTGCTCTCACCCTTTCCCACTCAAAGCCGCCAAGCTCTAACTCCTTTGATTCTTCCCGATAGTGATTTTCAAATGCAAATTTTCTGCGACCCAAAAAATGCATCTCCTGCAATTCTTATGTCGCAATAATCTTCTGTAATCTCAGGTATTCTCAATTTCGTCTTCATCTCCTTGCTGTGATGATTGAAATTGACCCTTTCTGAGATTCCCAATTCACGAAATTTTGGAAAAATTCCGACCGGTTCATTACGCAGCTTCACTGATGAACAACCTCGTAGCAACTAAACCACTTCATCTTGTTCATTGTTCCGATGATTCCAGGTAACCCTCTTGACCTGAACCATCTATCTTTGCTTGTCTCTGTATCAACTGATATTTCTGAGACACTATGAAATCTTCTAATTTCATACTTTGTAGCTTCTCCAGAAAACTAGATTCATCTTTGTCGACCTGTTGATTCGTATCATGTGCACTGAACTTTGAATCAACCTCTTCTTGAATCACTTGCAGCTACTCCACCTGAAACTAACCATAGTCTCAATTTCATCTTCTTTGCAGCTTCTCCCGATGAACAGCTCATGTTCTCAGCTACTTAGATGACCTCAGGTAAATCCCTTAACCTGAACCTTGTACTCTCGACTTGCTTCCGAGATTCAAGAACACACTACTAACTTGTATTCCTTTGAATCTCCCAACAGCTCCACCTGGAATCAAAGTGTCCTCACCGTAATTCCAGTTGCCTCCAGGTAACTCCCTTAACCCATTAATCAAACTGATTTTACTTTATCGACTGAAGAACATCTCCAAAAAACTGACCTGTTTCTATGTTCTTCTTCCTGCGAGAGTACACCGTCGATAATATAGTTACCTGGAGCTGCACCACCCTTCAAGCTAGGTTGAGAAGATCGCAGCAAACCTGAGCTTTTTGTCCAGGTACTGCTTCACTTACCAAATCTGCTATGTCTTGACTTGTTTGAATCGTAGATAGAACTAGATCCCCTTTAGCTCTACCTCCAAAAATACCTGTGCCCAATATCTCTGAAACCTTTCCCACGTCATTCTCCTTAAACTCCATGCTCAGATTTTCATTAAATCTTCTGATTTCTTGCAAATCCCTTGAAACTTTCTTAGACTTAATTTCAGCCAACTGTTTAGATCCTTCTGACGAAGAAGAGTCTCCACCTTCAGCTAATAAATCTCTTGCTTCAAAACGATATGGAGTAGGTCCTTGAATGATTCTCACTGAATGTCACCTTCTTTAACTTCTTCTTTTTCACTTCTACCTCAGCTTTTGGCATGTTCACGTCAACTTTAGAAACTGTACCTTGAAAATAATACAAACCACCTTGGTATTTTCCAGATATTACTTTCTTCTTGCCTTTGTAGAACTGAACCTTGAAGTTACCTCCATCATATCTGCAACCTGATTTCTCTAACATCCCATAAGAAATAAGATTCCTACTCACCTCTGGTATGTATTTCACATCCTTAAGTATCACTACAGAACCATTTGGATTCTGAATCTGAATCTTTCCCATTCCTTTGATGTCATAATGAGTGTTATTAGCCATCAAAACTTTACCACCATCAAACTCCTTGAAGTCAAACAAGACTTCTTTGTCTGGTGTACTATGGTATGAACATCCCGAGTCCAAAATCCATTCTTTCTTAGTATCTTGAGAGCTAACACTTAACACCATTGGTTCCTTTGAATCTGTTGCAACATTTGCAGAATCTGCAGATTTCTTTCTATGAGGACAATCACGTTTCCAATGTCCTTCATCTACACAGACAAAGCAACCTTTGTTGTTTTTCTTTCCTCTACTCTTAGACCTTCCTCTTCCATTCTCTGACCTCTTTTCTGATCTGCCTCTAGCCTCAACATATAACCCTTCTCCATCTGATCTTGAAAGCTTTTCATTTTCAGCCAGCTCTCTCTCCTTAGATTTTGCAGCACTAGCTACTTCCTCCAACTCAATAGCTTCCCTACTATACTTAAGAGTATATTTTAAAGAATCATATCTAGGGGGAAGAGAGTTGAGTAGCAGTATTGCTTGAACTTCTTCTGGTATCTCAATGTTGAGGTTGCTCAAATCTGCAATCAGCTTCAAGAAGTCATCTACATTCTGATCAATTGATCTTGAATCCTGCATTCTAAAAGAATACACCTTAAGCTGAGAATGGACCCGATTAGGCAAAGTCTTTGCCATGTAAAGCCTCTCAAGAGTAGCCCACGCTTGAGCTGCGGTTACACACTTGTCTAGTTTCCTTAAGACATGATCTCCAACACACATGAAAATAAGATTCAAAGCCTTTTCATCTCGCTCCAGTCTGGAAGCTTCATCTTTGCTCTTTTTCTTTATTGCCTCTGGATCTTTTTCATCCACGTCTTTGGATGTCGGTTCCATAAGAACATCTTTCAAACCTTGAACGGTTAAGTACGCGAGCATCCTTTTCTTCCAGATCAAAAAATCACCTGATCCGTTGAACATGCTCACCTCCATCTTTTGTGTCGTCATCATTGAGTTTCTAACCTAATCCTTCTAGCACTCAAACCTGGATTGCTCTGATACCACTTGTAAGGATTTTTAACTTCTCCTGAGTGCTTAGATCTTAGGATCTATTAGATGATTAGAAATTTAAATAACACAAAAGTTTGATCACCCAGTTCACGGCCTCGAACCGCTACGTCTGGAGTGGGAACCGTCTCCCACAACTTTCACTATCAATCAAAGATTACACAAACGCACTAACCGGCGCTCTCTTTGTTTTCAAGTACAAGTCACAGATTAGAACAATAGAAGAGAAGATTTGAATCACAACACAAAGAAGACTCAAACTTCTTTTGGTGCTCTCTTGGATTCCCTCTTCTCTCTTCTTTCAATTGCTCTCTCTCCCTCTGTATCTTAGCTGTGTACTCACGGCTCTTTGACTCCTTCTCTTGTGTTCGGGTTTGGCTTCAAAGTCTTTGTTTCTTTTATAGCAATACGTAGCCGACGTTATTCCTTGTAGCGTACTTTCCGTTTTATCAACGACTTCCTCTTTTGTTATTGGACTCAATCTTGATCCACTTGAAATCTTGACAAAGTAAGCCCAAATCATAGGCCCAGATGTGAAGATAGAAGCCCATCTTCCTCACATAATTTTATGATTTTTTTCTTCTCCTTTGTGAAAATAATTTTAAAACTTTAAAACAAAATCTAAAGAACAATACAAACCTTACCTCCCAAAACGAAGCAAAAAAAAAACAAAAAAACAAAAATTGTGAATGTAGGTTTCTAATCATTTTTCCATAGATTTATTTTTGTTTGAATCAAGCCTACCTTATCATTAGTCATTACAGTATCAACAGTGTTGAGATCAACTATGATAAACCAAAACAACGTTTTTTTTATATGTTTTTTTCTATTTTTCTCATGAGATTTTATGTGGTAATCCAAACGGAATGGACGATCTTAATATTCATGTCTAATCATCATATATAAGTATAATTATAAATAACATGTAAAATTACTCACAAAATTGAAAAATTGAAAAATTGAAAACAATAACAAAACGGTAAAAATATATATGATTGTTAATTTGAAAATATTTCAACAAAAATATTTTGAGGCATTTTGAAATAAGGAACTTAAATATATTTTGGACTTTCCAAGTTGAGTTGTGCGACATTGTTTGCATTTTACGATATGATAGGAGTCATGCATGTGTACAGTGTACAATACATTATTAAGAAAATATATTAATATTTCTTGTTTTTGTCTTACATACAATCCAAGAAGTGCCTCTTATTTCTTTCCAAATATTACGACCATTCCAAAGAGCGATTCCTCTACACTTAAGTTTACCACGACAATTTATTTTATTTTATATTTACCAATTTATAACACTAATTACATTTATAGCAATAATAGTCTTACTGGAAGTGGAACACCACTCTATCTCTTGACATGTAAACGTTTTATAAGTTATCCCTTATAATTTTTACTTCTCAAAAACTCTTAGACTAAATATTAAGCCATAAAAAGTTTAAATCCTTGAAACTTTTAGAGTAGATTGAGTTCTGTAGCACTTTCTGAATTTTTATTGCACTGGGTTAATTCCACAAAAACAAAAATACCTCTAATTTTGTTCTAAGTGTGCATAGTAGTGTCGTCATGAGTGACATGCGGAAAGTGAAAGGTTTGTTCCACAAAAGAGATTATTTAATGATAAATATTATCATATTATTCTACATGTTTAAAGTGAGTTGCATCAATTGTATGAGTGACATGAATTAAAGTGTGCATTGTTTTATCATTCCCTGGCTTCTTAACTCTCAGCGATACTGGTTTTTGTAATTAATTCAATTAATTTCTAGTTTTTGATGGCATTTCAGCTGTTTTGTTAATATTTTCATATTTTTCTTGTTATAATTTTGTTTACATTATAATTCATTTTTGTACATTTTGATACCCATGATACTATATTCCTTTTTTTTGTTACTATAACTTTACTATATTTCATATTAAAGTTACCTAAATATTTTGTCTATGTGCATGTCTATCGAACGCATGTTGTTATTTTGATATATATTTAAGAATCGTCGATTTAATAAAAAAAAATGTAATGTAAAAGAATCTATGACAATATATAATTGGACGTACTCCAACCAAATTCTTCAACAAGAAAGTAAACGACCAACCTCTAACTTAAAACTCACCATCAAACCAAGAACAAAGGCATCACTATGATCAACTCCGTGAAAACATTCATCGTCACAACATCTATCTTATGCCTTTCCATAGCCATAGGTGAACCAATACCATTTCTGATGCAACTCGATCGATGGGAATTATTGGTACCCAATATCGGTATATCCGCCATGCACATGCAACTTCTCCACAATGGCATGGTCATAATGTTCGACCGTACCGATTTTGGCGTCTCGAATCTTTCTTTACCGGGAGGCATCTGTCGATTCGATCCTAGTGACACTGCCGTCAAGTTCGATTGCTCAGCGCATTCAGTTCTCTACGACGTTGTCTCCAACACATACCGGGCCTTAAAAGTCCAAACCGATACATGGTGTTCTTCTGGTTCGGTTCTTCCCAACGGAACATTGGTTCAAACCGGTGGATACAATGATGGTGAGCGCGCTACTCGAATGTTTTCCCCTTGTGGTTATGGTGAAACATGTGACTGGATCGAGTTTCCTCAGTATCTAGCCCAACGTAGATGGTATGCGACCAACCAAATTTTACCAGATGGACGTATAATCGTTGTCGGGGGAAGAAGACAATTCAACTTTGAATTTTTTCCTCGACCCGATCATCATCGGTATAGAGGATCAAGATTTGACTTTCTTAGAGAAACTACAGATGGAAGTAACGAGAACAACTTATATCCGTTCCTACATCTTTTACCCGATGGGAACTTATTTGTCTTCGCTAACACAAGATCCATTGTGTTCGATTACAAAAGCAACCGAATCGTCAGAGAGTTTCCAGAGATTCCAGGTGGTGATCCAAGGAATTACCCAAGCAGTGGCTCTTCGATACTTTTTCCAATAGATGAAACCAAGAATACTATGGAAGTTGAAATTATGGTTTGTGGAGGAGCTCCCAAAGGCGCCTTCTCACGTGCAAAAAGCCAACACGGATTCACGCGTGCCATTTCCACGTGCGGGAGGCTAAAGCTAACCGATCAGAATCCAAGTTGGGAAATGGAAACCATGCCATTGCCACGTGTCATGGGGGACATGCTGCTCTTACCGACAGGTAATGTCATTATTGTAAACGGCGCAGGAGCCGGTACGGCCGGATGGGAAAACGCATGCGACCCGGTTACCCGACCCGTTATATATCACCCGTTTGATCGAAGGTTCTCTATTATGTCCACTTCATCACGTCCTAGGATGTACCATTCATCAGCGGTTTTGTTACCAGACGGTCGGGTTTTAGTCGGAGGAAGTAATCCTCACATTTATTACAACTTTACCAACGTCGAGTATCCAACGGAACTAAGCCTCGAGGCTTATTCTCCTCCTTATTTATCTTTCACATCGGACTCAATAAGACCGAAGATATTGACCAATGACAAAGTAGTGAGTTACAAGAGATTGTTCAACGTGGATTTCTCCATACCACAGTTTCTGACCACTGATCTTCTCTCTGTGAGGATAGTTGCACCTTCCTTCACTACGCACTCCTTGGCGATGAATCAAAGGATGGTGATCTTAAAGCTACTATCTGTGACGCGTGAAGGGCTAACTAATTCGTATAGAATCAATGCGTTGGGTCCATCAACGGCTGAGATTGCTCCTCCCGGATACTATATGATGTTTCTGGTACACGCAGGCGTACCAAGTGTAGGTGCTTGGGTGCAAATTGAATGAACCAAGTCATAGGATAACTGCAGTTTGACATGAATGTTCCATGTTAGGTTTATTTACGGTTAAATCATCTATATATATATTAAAGAAAAATAAGAGGGAGGAAGAGACTAGGTTACACAAGTAGTTTTGCAGACTGCATAATACCGTTGAGTGCTGAGTCCATCTCATGTTGAAATAAATGATTATTGCTGTTTTATTATCTAATTTTGTAGAAAATGCTATCCCAAATTACACTAATAATAATTGATAGAATACTGATTATTATGAAACTCTTTTATTTTGGTATATGTATTTGTCAGTGACTCAGTGGCTGCTGTACGTGGAGGGGTTATAGGGCAGGTCTATGGATTCTGAATTCAACAAGAGTTTACGTAAAATTTAACAGAGAAAATTTCATAACAATATATCAACTAAATTTCTACTACCATTTTAATTAATATATCAACTTTTGCGTACCTAAGAGCATCAGCAAATGGAGCAACCGATTTTGGAATGCTTAACTATTAATTATTATTAAACTTAAGTTAAGTATCTTTATTAAGAAGAGGAGAATTTTGTTGATTGGAGTACCTTTAATGGGTGTTAAAAAAAATTATAATTTAAGAGCACGCGATGTACCTTGAGCCTTCTTCTTTTCTCTCTGTCCACTAAGAACATGCTACGTACACCCCAAGCATCGATGCTTATGGATCTCAAATAAACATCGCTTCTTCATTTTAATTATATTTTTCATTTTTTTGTTTGGGCTAAGCATCGATGCAATACCACTGTTGCTGATGCTCTAAAATCATACACCAACTACTTTTTTTTCCATTTTAATTCAATAGTTCTCAACTGTCCATCCAATTTACAGTATAACAAGAGTTGTACGAAGTGTATCGACCAAAACAAAATTTCAGGATTCTTTGATACAAAGTTCTGTTAAGAATCTCTCTAGGCCTGGGCATTTTTCTCAGACCCGAGAAACCGAACCGGAACCGACCCGAAAAAATCGGTTCGGATCGGATTCGGGAACCTGCCAAAATATCTGATGGGTCCGTGGGTATCGGTTCGGAGCCGGGTATTATCCGAGAATCGATCGGATCTTCGGATACCCAATACAACTTTCAATTACCTAAAACATCATTATTACTCTATTTGGCTATTTCCCGTACATACGACATTTTTAACCTAGGGTTCTTCGTGCTTTGAGTACCTTTAACGATTGCGCTCCCCGACCTTTTTCTATTCGACCACAGACCAAACGGTCCGAACCATTTATACCTCCAATAAGCAATCCCACTCATCAAAACTGGAAACCCTAGCCCCCAAACGGTCCAAACCATCTTCGCCTCCACCATCAGCTTCCTCGCAAAATCTCTCGGAGGTAAGAAATCGATTTCCACCATTTTTTTTTGTTTTTTGAAGTTTGCATGTTGAATCGAGTGTTCAAGTCCATCAATTTACTTACACAGTCTTCGTGAATCGGAGTACCAGACTCTAATTCCTTTTTTTTGGTAAAAACCGATTACTGGTTACAAAAATCCAAAATCCGATTTATGTTAGTGTTAGCCGATGCATAATGAAAAGCTTTATGAGTTTATGTCTGTGTTCTTGTTTCATAAACTGATTCTAGTTGAAACTTTTGTTTTTATTTCACATTGATATATATGTTTATATGTATATTGATCAAACTTTTGTTTTCAATACTTTGCAGATGGCGTCTTGTAACAGTCCAAACCACCACGATGGCGATGCTCCTATGGATGTAGATGATCTCGATGGGACAGATGAAGAAGATGTTCAAACACCAACTCCTGATTCGAAAGGCAAGGGCAAAAGAAAAGAACTGAAGGGCAGAGTGCTTCTGGTTCTAAGTCAAAGAAGAAGACTAGATCCAAGTTTTGGCAGCACTTCACAAGACATGAAGATGATGACGACAAGTGCAACTGTAATTACTGTGCTAAGGAGTTTTCTTGCCAAACCAAGTCGGGGACATCGAATCTGAAGAAACACATCGGCAGCTGCAAGGCATACATGGCTTGGAAAGCTTCTAGAAAATCAGGTAATCAAACTGTGCTAACTCTTAATGGTTATGGTGGGAAGCTACGAATGAGATGATTATTCTAGGAGAACTGCCATTAGCCTTTGTTGAGAGTTTAGCCTGGAAACATTTTACGTCTAAAGTCCAACTGTCTCATCCTCACTCTCGGAGAACCGACAAAAGAGACATTGTGGCGATGTATAACGCGAAGAAAGCTTCAATGAGGAGGATTTTAGCACAGAACAAGCAGAGGGTTTTACTGACAACTGATATATGGGTCGCACCATATATAGGAGCTAGTTATATGGTAATAACAGCTCATTTCATCGATCCTACTTGGCAGCTAAGGAAGTTGATCATTGGTTTAATGTCTCCGATCATAAGGGGAGGACGATTAGCAATGTTTTGCTAGAGTGTTTAGAAGAGTGGGGTATAAAATGACTGTTCTGCGTAACTGTGGACAATGCCACTGCCAACAGTTCAGCAATGAAATGATTCAAGGAAAGGTTTAGTCTTCTCGGAAATGATGCGTTGGAGCTCAGAGGAGACTTTCTTCATCTACGATGTGCCACACACATTCTGAACTTGGTTGTGGGGGAAGGTTTGCAGGAGATTGACAATAGTGTAGTTGCTATTCAGAATGGGATTACTTATGTAAGGTCGTCTACTAACAGACTTAAGTCCTTTGAGTTTTGTGTTGAATCAGGAAGGATGACAAGAGGTAGCCTTCCCTTAGATGTGAAGACAAGATGGAACTCGACTTATCTCATGTTGGACCAAGCACTGAAGTTTAGAGTGGCCTTTGAGAAGATGGCAGCAGAAGATCTACCTTATGGCGAGTATTTTTTCGAAGAAGCTGATGGTAATAAGAGGATTGGACAACCAACCTCGGCTGATTGGGACTCTACAGGTTGGTTCAATTCCTTATCATCTTCTACAATTGGACATTGGTACTTTCATCTTCAAAGTCTGTCACTGCCCATAAGTTGTATAATGAGATAGTCACCATTACGACTAACATCAAAGCACTAAGCTCGAGTTCTGGTCCTGATTTGGATATGCCTAGTAAGGCAAAAGCTATGCTTAGTAAGTTAGACAAGTACTGGAATCCATTTGCTGATAGGGATAAGGTTGAGATGAACCAGATTATGATAGTCACTAGTGTTTTTGACCCAAGGAAGAACATGAAGTTTGCTCAGCTTTGCTTTGAAGAACTTTATGGTAAAGACAGTGCTGAGGCAATGCAAATGTATGATTCGGTTGAGCTTATATTGAAGTCTTTGTATGAGGAAAATAGTCGTTCAGTGGAGGGCCGAAATGGTACAACAGGTACTGCTGGAGGACCGCAAGGAGCAACATCTTCTAATTCTTCTCAGTCTCATAGGGGTGAAGTGTTTCAGAGAAGGACTCTGCGTAATGGTATAGGTTATCAAAGAATGGATAACATATACGCTCAGCTTTAAGAAGAGACAGGAATTGAAGACTCGGCTAATGAGTTGGAACTCTACTTGAGAGAGAATATTGAGAAACCAATGCTTATGGTTGGTCAAGATTATGATGTTTTATCATGGTGGAGGAAAAACAGTCCACGGTTTCCGATGTTGTCTCAAATAGCTAGGGATATTCTAGCTATACAAGTATCTTCGGTTGCTTCTGAAGCTGATTTTAGTACAAGCGGCAGAGTATTGGACCCTTATAGGAGCTGCTTGACACACTACATGATAAAGGTTTTGATGTGCACCCAGCAATGGCTAAAGTGTGAGATTCAAATAAATGAGAGAGGAGTTTCAACGATCGAGCAACTGCTTGCGGATGTGGAGTTGCAAGATGATCTCATGAGAGGTATTTTCATTTCTTAGCTTCTCCTTTATAAGTTTCAATGCTTGATTCATGTTTTTTTTTTGGGTTTTTTGATGTAGAGAACGATCCTGATTTAACGCAACCTAACTGAAGTATGTGCAAAGTGAAATCAAGTTTGAATCTGCTTTAAGGTAAAACATTTCATAGTAGGAAAAACCAGTGTTGTGGTGATTGGTGAAACTGATATTGGTTGATTAAGACTAAACCCTTTATTTGTTTACATGTTAGGTCTACAAGACATGAAGGCATGGATGGATCTTGATTGTCACAGAAAGAAAAGAATTGGTTTATAATCTCTGTCTACTACTTTATGTTTTAAGGTTTAACCGTTTAAGGCTTTAAGTTTCAAGTTTCAACTTTGAACTATTATTGTGAGCATGTTTCAGTGCTTTGTGTGTTGCAAGAACTTTGTTGTTTGATGAATTGATGTCTCGTGTTCGGATATTTTTTTTGCATTTCAAGGATTCAAGGTTTTAAGTTTCGGATATGATATTGCCTTTTCGGGTTTATTTTTGTTATTTTGGTTACATTTTTTAATTTTTCGGTTCGTTTAGACCCAAACCGAATCAGGAACCGGTTTTCGGGTCTTAATTTTAATATCCGAATCGACCCAAAAAAATCGGTTCATAACCGAAACCGAACCAAAATTCAATCGGTTCCGATTTGGGTAGAACAACTCCATACCCGATCAACCCGGAACCGATCGGATTCGATCCGAACCCGATCCGAATACCCGAATGCCCAAACCTAAATCTCTCAATTAGACCATCATCAACGCTAAATATCTATATGAGTATTTAAAACAATTTTTTATTATAAAAATGGGTCTCACATGTGATAACACCGGATTTTGACCATTTTTATGGATCACTTTAATATCTTTTACATGTGTTTTTACTCTATTTTCAAAGGTTTTCAAAGAATTTCTATATTTCCGGATTTTAAAAGACTTTTCAGGTAATTTGGGATAAAGAGGCACAAATTGGAACAAAAAGACTCTTTTGGATAAATGCAGACCGTCAGAACTCTCATGGAGAGACGAATACCTTCTCACCGTCTGATCACCCTCAAAATTGGTCAACTTATAGAAGAATCAACCAGCTTTCAAATGCACTTG